TGGATTTTAATTAGTCACAAAATATAATTAGATTACCACTTTGAAATAGTTAGTTTAAAAGAGCTATTATTGAGATTGATTTTATATTGATAATAGTTTTTATATATTTAGAGCCACCTTTATTAGACATTAGTGACTCTTGAAAAAAAAAATCTTTTATTTGGTATTTAGGGCACATATTATACAAAACTTATTAAAAAAAAAAAAAAAAAAAAAAATTAAAGAAGGATTTTTATGTAAAAAAAAAAGAATAGCTAGACCAACCATATGAATGAATGAAAATGGATGATAAAATCTCCATTCTTATTGGTCAAAATTCATACCTAATGGACTTCAAAGAGACTACTTGAGGTCTTATTAGAGATTAGGATTACTCTTCTAGAGGCATTTGAACTTAAGAGGCTATGATCAAGAAGTTTAGATTTTTAGTTATGGTTTTGGGGCAAATTTTGAGTCATTTGGAATTTTTATAAAAGAAATATAGGAACTCAAAGTTAAGATGTTGGTTTTGTACCTATTGTCAGACTTTTGGACATAATGTATGCGTATAGAAAGCAATGGTGGATCGAAAATTGGGATTAAAGAGAGCACTTTTTAAACTAAATTTTTTACATATTGTTTGATAAATTTTAAGGTGGGATGAAAGAAATAAAGGAAGTTGAAGTCAGCACTTGCAATCTAAAAGTAATAAGTGACTTGATTTACTAGTGGTTGTATTTTGAGCTATATCTTTAGCAATTTGACAAGTTTTTGGCTCAAAATTTTTAAGAATGTATACTATCATATTACTAAAATTTATATAAAAATTTTGTTGCATTTGAAATTTGGATTTTTGAGATATGAAGAAAATAGTATTTGGGTGCTTGTAAATTCTTTATTGTCTAATAATTTGAGAAAAATTGAACTATTGGATCAAGAGATATGATTTTCTAAATTTTGAAGAGAAAAAATCCTTTGGAGGAGAAAAATGTTTTGAAAGTATTTTGCTACTATTTGGACATTTTATGCAAAATAAAGAGATTTTTGAGAGCGAAGACTTTATATATATGTTAAAGATGGAGATATAGAGCTAGGATAAAATTATTATATAAAGATGGATTTTTGTGAGAAGATTATGAATCTTTTTTGAACTTATGAGAAATCTAACTTACCAGCAAATGATTAGTTATGATTTGGTATAACAAAGGATGTTAAGACATTTCTAGATGCTTTAGAAAGCCTTATGTACAAAGCTTCTTAAATATAAATGGATTTTATTAGTAGAATATCTTTTGATATTATTGTATTTAGTTATCTTCTATAACAAGAATATATCACTTATTGCAACTTGGCCAATAGGTTAAAGCTAAATTCTCTACAACTAGGTATCTAGTATATTCTTAGATGAAAAATCACACCATATGACAATGTGTAATACATAGTTAACTAATTAACTAGATTTTAACCTATCAATCAACTACAAACACATGTGAAGTCAAAACCACATCTAAAAAGCTTCTAAGAAGTTTTTTTAGAAGATATTATAAAATTATTCTATTTTTATCTACTTTTATCTAATTATATAGATAATTATTGGAGTAAATATATATATCTATGACATGATTGAAATATATACATATTTCTTTGTGATGATTTGTCATATAGATATAAATGATTTTAAACTTTATAAATAATATGGTTTAAAATTCTATTTGTACAAATTTAATAATTTATATGCAAAGTGTCAAAATTTTATGTTTTAAATTGATATATTATGATTTAAAATTAAATAATATATTAATCAAATAAATGCTATTATTAAATCTTAGATTCTTTGTAAATTTTTACAAAAAAATAAATAAGACTTTTATTTTTATGCTTTTTGATTCTTAAGTAGCATTAGTTTTTTTAAAGTTAAAGACTTACATAGTTACAAACTTTATTTTTATTAGTTGTGATGCTTTGTATTAATTCTAAATGTATCTAGAATTCATTAGAGATTATTGATATATGAAAAAATATGTTTTTGTACTAATTGTTGGATAAAAAAATATTCTACTTAATTCAAATATGTTTGAAATTTGAAATGTAATAGAAGAAATTAAATATTATACATTAAAAATTATGTCTAATATTCCTTTTATTGTTAAATTTATCATTTTTTAAAAAAATGATATTTTTTTTTAAAATTGATATTTTTTTAAAAAATTGATATTTTTTTTTAAAATTGATATTTTTTTAAAAAATTGATATTTTTTTAAAAAATTGATATTTTTTTAAAAAATTATATTTTTTATAAAAATTATATTTTTTATAAAAATAAAGAATATTTTTATTAAATTAAATCAAATATAATTTAAAACAAAGATTCCTTTGGCCAATGATTTTGTTGTTTTCTTTCTACAAGTTTATCATATGTATTCTATCTATATGATAAAAAATAAATATAAAAATTATTATTTGAAATAAACTATAGACAACCTCACTAAAAATCATACAAAACTATTAATAATAAAAAAATTCTACTAATCAAATATAAAGAATAAAAATTATAAATATAAATACTAAAAAAGAATTATATAGATTAGTTTAGCTTTAAATATTTTTTCTTTTTTTTTTAAAACTCTAAAAATATTACTTAGATGTAATAATTAACTATTTAGATATTATGACAAATATATTTTTATTTTAAAATATATATTTTTTTGTAATAAGTGTATTAGATAGCAATGTCAAACCGACAATTTGTACAAATGTAATTATTTTTATACAGGATCTTTATATTTTGAATAGTACATTAAATCTTAAAATTAGATATATAATATTTTAAATTTATGTAAAAATAAAATATGTACAAAATTTCAATTTTTTATATTATATTGTATTGTTTTAAAATAAAATATTTTATTGATATCTTAAATATAAATAAATAAATAAATAAACAAAAAAATGGCTTATTGTATAAAATAATGTGGTTTACTAATAGTCTTCATTTGAAATTTCTAAAAAATTAATAATCATCTAAGAATCTTCGTAAATATTGATATCATTTATTATTTGCAACTTGATTAAGTTTTGAATATGTGTAATGGCTTGAAATTTATGGTTGTTAATTTTTGTGGTCATGTATAGTTATGGCATCAATTCATAAACATGCTGTAATTTGAAATTATTTTAAGTCTCATACATGTTTGATTTTATGTTAATAATAATTTTTTTGCTCAAATAAGACCAAGATGTAGGATACAATATATATATATATATATATATATATATATATATAATAGATTTTATCTTGGTCAAAAAATTAAATTAATTTTTATAGAAAAGATGTCCAAAGTATTTTTTTGAAAAATTAAACTATTATTAAAGTTTATGATTAAAAAATACTTCAACTCTATTAAATCTTAAGAATGGACTACAAACAAAATAATATAATATTTTCTATTGATTTTTTCATCACATTATTTATTTTATTGATAGTTATTTTTTTCTAAACCTCTAATGACTTTATTATAATAGACCTCTTTATAGACCTCTAATGACTTTATTATAATATATTAATTATCATGTGATGTGGCCCCAAGGATCAAACCATGTCAAAGTAGTATATTTAGTAGATTTTGATAGTTTGTGTTAGTTTTGAGATTTTTCATCTATTTAGTATTTCCATATCCATTGGAGTTTCATCTAACTTAAGATTGGAAGAGTATAGTGGAAAAAAATCTCCTTGACTTGACATTCTTGTCAAATTAAGTCTTGTGAATTTTTTTGTAGAAAGAGTTTGTATGAAGATTTATTTGTGATTATGGAATAAAACCTTAAGTTTGCTTTCATGCTTACACTCTTAGATTCTCCCTTTGTGAAATGAGAGATACCTTAACAATTTTATTGTGATTAAAAAATTGAATTAACTATTAATAGAATTAGATTTTCTATATTTTCACTGGAGGATATATTTGTAAGGTTCTTTTTTTTTGTCATGCTCAATGTTGGTTTGTGGCACTCAATTTGGTGTGAGTAGCAATTTTTATTCACTCAACAGAACATTTAATTTTATATTTCATACAATGGATAAGCTACAAATCGAAGCATCAAATGATATTTTGAAGAAATATAAAAAAAAATATTTTTACTACTTGTAATTGCATAACTGAGAATTTTAATTATTTGTTGAGCTTCAAACCTGTTTTTAGACCTTACAAGAATCACCACAAAAGAATCAACATTGCACATCCATCCCATTATGAATACATCATTAAAATTCAACCACCAAAACTCACTCCATGATCAGTTTAAAATTACAATATCATTTACATCTTACATCAGGAAATATATATCTATCTATCTACCTATCTATTTGCTTCTTCGTAGGGATAGAAGATCTCTAGCATGACAAATCATCTCCACTGTCGCCACAATATCCTTTCCTGTATCATCTTGACCTTTAAATTAGGTGGGGTAATATAGAAAGAACATTTCGTGGGGTTGTATTTTTGATGGCATATTCTTATATGGATGAGAGCTGCAAGATTATTTTGACGCACCCAGGCTCATCCGAAAAGATGCACAATTGTGTAAAAGCATATTAATCACAAAACATAATTTCACAATGGGTTGACTTAACTTCATGTAATGTCTGCAAAGATTTTCAGCCTCATTGGACTAAATCTCAGATGAAGTCATTTAATGAACACGGCAAATGAAAGAACATGCTTACCTCAGTCTAATTTAATAAGTTTCACAATATGGTCCCTATTTAAATTCAAATATTACCATGAGAAAAAATGGTTCCCAGGTAACGTACAAGAAATTTAAATCAGTTTCAAAACTACCTAGATTTTCAGTTGGGTATTAAGAAGAGTACATTACCTGGGGACCATTTGGGATCTCCACGCATTCAACAGTGAGCGGTAACAGAAAAAGGAAGAAACACTACGTTATTCACTGTCGCCATCAGCTTGAGAGAAATCAGCAGTAACCTCAAGCACCAAACAAAGTCTCGACCAATGACGAAGTAATGAGACAGAACATGCAAAACTGAGCAATACCCTTATTCAATATAAAATAACACTGGGATTCTTGCATGAAATAACCATGCTCTACATAGACATCACTTGGACGATGCTGTTTAATCTAGTTTGTAGATAACAAATATCCTGCCGCTGCCAACAAGCACGCTAAAATTGCCTACGATTCTAATGTTTCAGAACTCTAAAATCACCCTCCACACCTAAATTACACAACTGATAAGAGGAATTAAATGATGCATGGATATTATATAATGTATACCACTCCGTTGAAAAAGTGTTGCATGAGCTGTGCAAGTAGAAACCTCTATAAAATCGATAGATTTGTTCCTAATATCAAGGTGGACCAGGTAAGTCTATGCAACGGCATGTTATAGAAAAAAGAACTTGTGACTCTTAGATAAGCCCTGCGAGCGCAGCAGCAGGTCCAGTCAGAGGGATTGTAGCAGGTGTAACTGTTGCAGCTTGTGGCGATTGTCCTGGAAACGGAATGTCCATGACTTGCTCTTTGATGAATTCCTTCAGCCTGCAGAAAAGTCAAGAGTTTATCTTCAACTACAACAAACATTCACACCAGAAGCTGATGCGTGCAGAATCAATCACTTAAGGATCCTAAGATAAGTATTCGAAGTTTTTCAATTGATCGAGTTACAGGTGCTTCCACACTTAAAGACTCAACATGTCATGTTTTTGAAGTCAAGTCAAAAGTGAACAGAGCGAAAAAAGAATAGTCAAATTAGATGTAGTACTCATATGTCGTGTTGGGATCCTCTGAAGCAACTGTTAATCTCATTTGCGTCCTGTCCGATGGGTCCGTCTCAACGCGTACCTGTGCCAAAAACCTAGTATTCAACAACACACACGAGAACTAACCAATAAACCTATTCACTTAACCTATTCAACCTTTAGAAGTGAAATGTCATTCCTTAACTTATTTGAACTAGTAGTCGAAGCTATACTAGAGGCGCCAATGGATTCAAATAAAATCTAAAGCAACTGATGATAGTTCCCCATAAAAACTGTGAGAAAGATTGTATCCCTAAGATTGTAATGTATTGTCCACAATTTTTAATACTACGTAAAGGATATACCAAAGAGAGTCAATGAAGAGTATTGCGAAAGAATTTAGAGTACCAAGCACAACGTGGCTGCAGTTCCAGAATAAAATGTTGTTGCAGCAACAACATTATTCACGTTGGGGTCCTGTAAAGTCCAAGGGTCAACATCTATTACGGGGTCTACAATGCTGAGCTTTTACGACAGGTAGAACCTGGTTAAGAGATACAGGTCTCACTTAGGAGAATCGACTAAATATAGAAAGATAAAGAAAGCCACAAGTGACAACTTACGAGGCCATTAGCAACACCAATATGAAGGCGGATGAAGAGATTTGCCATTTCCGCCAAGGGCATAGGTCTTACACCACGGACCTAAAAAATTCAAATCACGAAGTAAGAAACCAGGAGAATAGTCATCACTAAACCTAGAAACTAAAACAAGAAAATATTGGACGATCGCGTCTCCATAATGGTAGACACAGTGGACAGAATTGAAAAAAAAAAAAAAAAAAAAAAAAAAAAAAAAAAAAAGAGCAAGTTGTATATGATTTTCTAAATTTGAAAGAAATGTCACATTAACATAACATTGATGAGAAAGGCGACAATAAATTGGATAACTTGCCACTTCTTGAAGTTTGCTTGGTGGACCTCCAAGTGCCCTCCATCGAGCGACAAACTCGTTGGCCGATACAGGAGCGACTTGCAAAAATTTGTTTAACGATGTTGGCAATTTTAATTGCACACTCACCTGCCAATCATTACCAAACCATGTTCACATAATAATGAAGCTTATGGCGATCACAGAAACTAAGAGATGGCATTCCGATTTCTGAGCAGCCAATTAGTAAACCGAGGCTAAGCTCGCCAAAGAAATACAAAAAATACTCCTCAAACAAAAATCACTCGTGAAGAAATAAGTAAACATTCTAACAATTTCAGGCATCATCAAAAATCAAGGTTGAGTACGTACAGGCGCATGACCAACATTAAAGCTGAACTCAAGCACTGCAGTTTCTCTGCTTGCACTAAGGCATGCCACATCAACAGGAACTTGCACCTGCCAAATCACAGCAAAAGTAAGTGAAAGATTCTAAACCCTGTGCGAGACAAACGCACGCTAGAAGACAGAAGGGGGAACACGAGACGATAGAAACTCAAAAGCTGATCAGTAACTTTTATGTCCTCACAAACTGCAGTTTTCAAGGCTTGGACATGGTGAACTGCGTTCTCTAAAGAAGTACTGCAAACTGAATACCGCCTAGAACATACCTGCGCTCTTGGAGGAATGTTTTCAGGCACAACCGCTGATTGCATTCTTAGATGAGGCGGTGGCAAAACTGAACTTTTGACATTCGTTAAAGGTCCAGTGTGTTTGTTTCCAACAAAAAGAACAATTCTGCCTTGGGCATTACGCCACTCTGCCTTCAAACCAATCTGCGTGCATTTAAAATATTACAATTTAGCATTCAATTGACAAGGATAAGCGCTCAACGCTAATCGCGGCCATATAAACACAACGTAAGATGTCGAGAAGTTCAACCACTTTTACATGTAACATTTTATCTGTTTGAGGCACGCGTTCTGCCTTTACAAAATTTGATCACAGCCAAACAGATTTCGAACTCCTTCAGTTTGCATTACCTCTGCTAACATATGCACACAAATAAGAGTAAATATCCACTCAATGCAAGATACATAGCTTGAAGTCAAATATACCTGTACATAAGGATCTTCATACAGTACACCACTGTCCTTTAGAGTCAGCTCTTTGAACCATTCTGAAACATTTCCAAGAGGCTGTACATAAAACGTTTCGCATAAATTAGTACTCCTGTTAAAGAAAAGGTCCGGCGGTTCGATCCCAAACAGACAAGAAAATATTTGAGAAGAAACATATCTCAAGGTTCACAAGCAGTACATGTTAATAAGGTTACAACAAAGCATATACCTGGACCTGGGTAGGAGCACTGTCTAGTAGGGCCAACGCAAGAGAGTCTGCAGGTGTAGCTGCTGCAGCAGTTGGTGTTGGAGGTGCTTCTAGCGCAAGTAAATCACTAGAACTTGTAGAAGCTACAGGAGGAGGTGCCTCCAGGGAAAGTGGGCCCACAAGGTCACTCAACAAGTCAGCAGAAGCTGACCCAGGGGTGTGCCCAGGAGCTTGTTGTGGGGTTCCCCCATTTGAGTGTGCTTGCGATTGGGAAGGAGGGAAAGATTTTGAATCTTGAGGAGTTTCTGATGTGACTGCTTGCTCCTGCAAACAATAGAACTCATGAACAATTGCAGAAGGTTCGTGGCGTTCATAAGGGCAACGCCAGCAATGGAGCTTACGTAGTTAAAAAACTTATTATAATTCTACGGACCGTGCTGTACTAAACAACAGACATAGAAACAGCAACTTCAAAATAATGCAAGTTACAGAATATAAGGTGCATACTGAGTGCCGAGCGGGAGCAGCTGTCTTTGGTACAGAAACAGGATGAAGGCCACCATTGGCAGGCTGCGGATCTGCCACTACCAAAGCTGTTGAGTTCTGCTCCTGCTGCATCTGCTGCTGCCGTATCTTGGTAGCACTCACTTCAGATGCATCTCCATCAGTGTCCTCTGCTTTCTTCAACAAAGGTGACTGTAGTTCACAAAACATATACTCAACAATAAATAAACTACAAATGATATATTTTTCATAAGGCATACAACCCTCTAGATATAACCAATCACAGTATTTTTGACAGAATTTGACCATGAAGAATGTTGACTGAGAACGTTGCCCCTCCCATTTAATCAAATCTGGTGTATACCTGGCGCTCAGGAAACTTCGGCATTTCAGCCATGATGTCCACAAAGGCTGTTCCCTTGCGAGCAAGTGCAAGGAACTCCACGGCTCTTTGCTGCACTTCGGCATCCACGGAGCTCTCATACCTAATCAACACATCTCAAAATTGTATATGAGAACGATGGCAATATCTCAAATGGAATACTCCAAAGTATCACCATGTCTTTGATCACATTAAGAACACTTAGTGACATTCTTTCATCTCAAGATTTACCTCGTGTACAGGGGAAGAAAATAAAATAAAATAAATGTCATTGGTCAGGCAATTCTCAATTGTTTGCTGTATATTCGGGGGCAGGGGGAGAAGAAGTTCAAAAGAATAATCTTGTTTTCAGAACAATAACATCTTTACCTCCTAAAGACCGCAACTACTTGATCCACCAACTCCGGGTCCGGAGGCTGACAATGCATCATAATCTTCACACAAGCAGAAAGGAGTAACGCCTTGGTAGGAGTCCTGGAACACAAACAGCAAGTGAATACATAAAACTTGAGAGGCAGTGAAGATAACGGAACATCAGAAATAAGCACCGAATTCCCTTTGCTAACACGACACACAGTCATTCAGAGGACATAGTATTATATTCGGGTTAAACTCATGATAACTTGCAATATATGTTGCAATACACACACACGTTAACAACTCACGTGACTGCTGGAAATTTGTCATTTAAGATATGAAAAATATCCCTAGGGCTGCAACCAGGTCGTCGGGCAAGAAGATGGCTATATTCTCCTAATATGTATCCTGAAACCTGCACGCATCAAGAAGCCATCATCGATGAATTAGAATACCAAGTCTATAATAACCCTCTGTAGATACTAAAGAACGATACCAGTTTGAAAAAGACCAAATTGTAGATAATGTTGCATTTAAGATGACCACAAAAAAAACAAACAAACAGACAAACAAACAAACAAAACCCCGTGAAGTGTCCAAGTTCATCTCTTCACACTTTCGAGCCCACCCCACGCACTGAACGGCAAAAGAAGCAAAATCAAACTAATACTCGATCTCAAGAAGGGGGTAAAGCGCAAACCTCTCTGTTTCCAGATACCCACTTACTAATCTGATCTCTACTAGACTCAAGTAAGGTTGCAAAGAATTACCTTCACCATAGTTTCGTGCACAGCGGGCTTATCCAAGTAGTCAAGTGCCTTAGCTGCAGCATGCACCTACGTATCCAAAGAGTTCAAGAAAATAAACATAACAACGGAATAATTGTATTAGTTAATTCAGCCCAAACACTTCTCTAGGTTAACTTTAAAAGAAACCGAAGTGCGCAATTCAATATGTACGTAAAACACTTATTTAGAGTACCTGTAGATCATCATTGTTGGTAACAAATTGAACCACTCGGTACCATATATCATCACTAACAAAATCACCAGCCTTCTCAATAAGCTGTAATATGACATCAACGTACCTGCGATCCCAATCACAATATAAAGCACTTCACTTTAGCACAGTATTCTAGAAGTCTAGGTAATCAATAACTCACAATGAACATTCCATATCAAGGTCAACTGGACAAAAAACTAAAACAAATTCACTATTCCTCAAACAATCTAAATGAACAACTGCGTGCCTAAATATACAACCAACTACAGCATTGAGCTTAGTCTGCTCAAAATAACTCTTCTGATGAAGAAGGAGAGTACCAAGACAAATCTGGAGCGAACTTCTCAGACAGAATGGCAGCTTTCAAAGCGAGCTCTTCCCGAATTCCAAAGTCAGCAGTTGTCAAATACTGTGACAAAAACAACATAAAGTGAACAGCAGATATCAGTATGTCCAGATCAGCGATAACAACTGAAAGAGCTTCAAACCATAGAAAAAGCACCATGTTGAGAGGGTAACATCAAGTACTACAGGGGCAAACCTGTAACAGCTCTTCCACAATGTCCTTGGCATTGCTGACATCGCACATGCCATACAGCAAATCCAGAGAGCGCCTTCGAATGCTGCGAAAAACAAACATCTAAAATATCAGGATCTTAAAATTGAGCACGTAATCAGGTACGACTTTTGACAGTGACCCCGGACAGTGGCTTACATGGTATGTTCACGACGGTGATTGAAATAGCCTTGAAATATTTACAGAACAGAAAAGCAATTCTAACCACATAAACAAAAATTAAAAACTAGATTGAACTAAGTGCCGCAAGATTCAGTGAGTCATGAGAGAGCCATCTTTTGGCACTTTTGCATTGAAACCGTGCGTGTATATATGTGTGTGTATGTGTGTGTGCATGTGTATTAAAAGGGGCGTCACGATTTATAAAATGACTATGTATTTACTATAGTAACCGCATCTACTAGACGATTCATTCATATCAAAACGTCGTCACAACCATGAGGACTTTCAAACAAATCCCCAATACAACAAAAATTGAAGCTAGACACAACAAAAGAAGGGAGAAGAAAGAGACAAGTAGAGCCAAGGTCTTGTGATCAGTGAAGACCACATTACCTGATATCTGGGTCTTTCAATGATGTGATAATTTGCGATTGATGTTTCTTAATACTGTCGGCCACATCAGCTACTAGTAATATCCTAGTCATATTCTCCTGTGTGAATCAAAAGCACTAGAATCTGAGGGACCACCTTTATGTGCATCACCGAATCACCAAAACACATTTAGCAACCACCTCGAGGTTCTTATTTTATGTTTCCTAATATTTAGATCGCAGAAAAAAGCAGCTGACAAACCGACGCTTCGTAATTCATCAAATGGGAATTTAGAATTTCAACACTTACCAAACCCAAGTAACGTATGTTGGGCTCCCGAACAGAAATAAATTTCCCCAACAACACTACGCATTGCGACATCATTTCCTTGTCGGCATCCAGGTGCATCACCTGCCAAAGAACAGCATCAGTTCAAAGGGCCCTGACAGAACTACAGAAGACTGCTACAATTGTAGACTGCTGTTGCATTAATCGACAGTACAACAAGTTCGCCAACTTTAATGATACTGACGAAAAACGACGTAAGCTTAACAAGATTTGACAAATTCCAACTTCCGAAAAACTCCTTATCCTACCCCTCATATACAGCATTAAACAAGATGGATCGACATACCAACGCAAGAGCCTCGAAGAGAACAGCATGAGATGCATTATTTTTGTTGACATTTTTTACAACATCCGTGCCCAACAAGATCCTTTGTAAAACCTGTACCCAAAAAAATTAGTTAATTAATACGCTCCTTATGACCGAGAGAACCATAAGAACAGTGTACGAGAAACAGAAGCAATTTAGGGAATGAAATAGAAAAAAAGAATAGACATAAGTATCAGCTTACATCAAGCAACGACTTCCTGATAGTAGGATCATCAATCTTCGGAAAGTACTGCAGCACCCGCATTGTTTTGACCTATTCCATTCGGCACCCGTGCAACACAGACGACTGTAAACTTTCATTGTGGAACAATTAATACACGATTGCAGCACTTGAGCACGATCATCAACAGTATTAAAATGGATACTCCAAATATAGTATACAAGAAAAGAATCAAGTAGAGATCCACAGATGCAACAACGGCTTCAAATGTCCAACCAAGGGCAAAGCCGTTCCAAAAAAACAAGGGTAGGAAGCCTAGACAAGCACGTTGTATTTTATCACAAAAAATGCAGAATAGTTATTGAGACAAAACCAAGATATCCATTAGGTTGATTATACAGAGATATGCAAGTGACAACAATTTGAAAGCATACCTGGAGCCACGGGGACGGAATGCCATAATATGTATATTCTTGCGGAATATCCTGACCTCTGGTTAATCGTTCCAATGTACGGACACATTTAGGTACACAATTCCAATACGCATGAGGAGTGTTTGCCACAAGTGCCACCAACAAACTCATGACAGCTGTAAGAACTCCTAGATCCCGCTCATCCAACAACTGCACCATGCGTTCCGACCTGGTTGAACCCCAGCAAAAAATGTCAATAATCCGGGACGATAACGACTATCCTCAACAAAGTTCAAACGGTCAAATAGTGCTTGAAACACACCCAAATGGAATAAAATACTATTGGTCAATAAAGTCTGAACTTATTTTGAGATTGAACCACGTTAATGAAGAACATAAGAAATTCAACTGAGTTCACACTATCAAACCAGCAGCAGCTCGAGGAATAATTCACAGTCTATTAGACTGCCACCCACCAGCCATCGACGTTGACGACATCAGGATTCTTGCGATAAAGACGAAGCAGACAGAGAGCTGCTTTTTTCCGCACTAAAGGTCTGCAAGAGTTTGAGATCTGCAACATCACACCTCCTAACACAAAGTAAAATACTGCTTGTTCATGTCGCGTCTGTAAGAACTTTAACTCTTTCTTCTTTAAATCTCCGTTAGATAACCACTTCATGAGAAATTCACAAGATTGAAAGCAGACTTGATTCGCATCAATTTACGTCTAAGAAAAACCAACATCCCCCCCCCCAAACCTCACAAATGAACATACACATTACAAGTGGTAAATCAGCATAGTGCTGAAGAGCGTGTTCATCAGCATACAGGTGATGGTCAACGTTGCTTGTCTTCGAAAAGCAGAAAAAAGTGCCCACATATTCATGACTGCCAGTGAAAAATACAGTAAAACAACAAGGAACTTAGTGAAAAGTTCTCTCTTACCAGCAACTTTTGTACATCTGGAGCCAGCGATTCTGAAAATTCTCTTCCACCAACATTGCCCACCTAATTACAGAATTATCAAATATGTCAAGAGTAACCGAGCACATACAGACAAGAGGGAATCAAAACATAAAAATATAAGAAAACACACCAACAGGACAAAAAATAATAATCAACATCATCTAGCTTGAAACGGGATTTCAACTGAAATTTGAAGTTGGTGTACCATTGTTAAGGCGAGACATTGAAAAGTCTCATTCCGACCAATGATGTCATTACGGACAGTGTTAATGACCAGTCGCAAAAAATCGTGGTTCTCATTGAGCAGGCAAGATGTGACGATGTAGCCAACCTGATTAATACCAATCATTAGACCCAGTGTAACAGTGCAGAGGCAAGTCACTGACGGTTGCAAGGAATATCGATATTTGATACATACCTGCTTTTCTGCATATTTCGGAGCTGAAATAAGTTGCACTGTTTCCATGTGTCCGAAGTCCACATCATAGCCAAGCATGTAAATGTATAGCATCTTCCAAACATACTTCTTCTTCTCGTATACAGACAAGCCCTGGGAACACAAATGGCAAAATTGCAACATACCGCGTGTGAAAAGTCTTGGGTTCGACAATCCATGACATTTGATGCCATACAGGCTACCTCAAGAAAAATCCTTACATTAAAGCTGGCTTATGAAACTGAATATCTGCGAGGGCAGAGGAATTCCAGGTCGCTGCAAAGGATGTCGAAAAGTTTCCACTAAAGCCTCTTACGTCTACCTAAAGAGCTTACGAAAGGAGGTGAATCAGAGCAGCTAGTTCGGTCAATTATCTGCCCTCTGCAACTAAAGCAAAATAATAAATTCCAATTATCCCGAACAAAACGTGCAAGGAGACTACATTCAAGAACTCGCAGGCGAGGCAAGAGCCAGCTGGTCCCCAAATGTTTAGAAATATGGAAGGTTTCGATGGGGATAACAGAGAGAATAGCATGTCCAGCAGGAGAGACGACTGAATCGAAGAAGAACCGAAGGCAATACCGATCACTGCTTCCAACTTCATGACCAAAGGCGCTTGAGTCAAATAGATTACTCCAATTACAATCTGTACGAAATCCTCTGGCTCTCAAAAGCAGGAGATTCTCTTCTCCAGATTGTCCTTGCCAACTCGAACTCAAATACCTATAATTTAGCGAGATTGCATGGACCTCTAAAAACAACTGAATATCTGCTCCAAATCACATTCCTCGCGAATCCACCAGAGCAATCAATCCCTGAAACATAAAATGCCTCCGAATCCAACAAGGGTTCGAGATCAAAGCCACTGAACTTCGCACCCCGTCGCCTCCCCAAAAAAAAGGGACCAACATTACGCACCAGTCCCGACGCATCAACACTAGTAAAATACCTCCGCACACACACTCTCCACCGAAATTGACTACCACACGTACCCGCTCATTCTTGAACCGCGTCCGAATGTTAGCAAGCTCCTTGTCAACCCGCACCCGCTCCTGCTCTTTGTTCTGGCAATTCCGCACATCGCTAATAAACACAGACAGCCCCCGCATCCCCGAGAGCGCCATCGCCGATCACTTCACTGAACACACCTTCCTCTCTCGCTCGCTCTCTCTCTCTCTCTCTCTCTCTCTCTCTCCCCCTCTCTCTCTCTCCACCCCCAATCTAAATCTCAAAGCTTCAAAACACAAACTCGACCACTGTCAACTCGTCAGCTCCTTCGCCCTATCCCTTGCCTACCACCGCTGGCAAGCGCTCCGCTGCTTCTTCATAGTTCCACTCCCACTTCCCTAACAAACGCTGAAACCTCACGTCCACAATGTTGTAAAATGCCGTGCCACTCCCAAGAGAGGCTCACGGGGCAGCGGTGGGACACACTGGTAGCGAGAGGGAGCGCGACGCAGCAAGCGAGAGAGAGAGACACCGGAGACGGTCGTTGGGATGCAGGGCTTTGAAAAGTCTGGCAAATGGACAGCTTCGGTTTGGTAGCCAGAAAATTTCAAAGGCTCTCTTTACACTGTGCGACACTGCTGGTGTGGTTCTTCTCCCTCCCGTTGCTGCCTGCTCCTCCGTTCGGCACCTCCTCGTTTCCTTCCTTCCTTCGCACCATACTTCAAATTTTCGCCGGCCGGGCCGATTCGCGAACCTTCAGCGGGTCTCCGAATCTCCACCCCCCTCCCCCGCCCCCGCCCCATTCTCGCGAACGAAGGGTTCCCGTGTTCCCGTGTTCCCTCTGAGTCCGTTCCCCGGGTGAAGCTTGGACGAGGCCATTGAGAGTCCCCCCCCTCCCTTCCTCCCGCCACAGCTTCCAACCTTCATCCTCGTATCATCCCTATGTCATTCATTCTTATTTCATCCGTCCCCCTCGGCTTCACGTCACTTCTTGCTCTGGATCCATTTCTTTGCTCTTTTTAATATGGCATATAAATTATGTCATGTTTAGATAGATTATTCTGGAATTTTTTTTAATCATCTCGTGTGGTATTAGTAGATGTATGTACACACACACACACACATATATATATATATATATATATATACAGTAACTTGTAAATATTCATGTTCAAATCTGTTTGTTGTTTATCGAAATTGAAGACTTTGTATAAAGTCTGATTAAAACTTTTATACTTTGGAGACAATTCATGTCAACTCTGTAGAAAACCTAATTCATCTTCTACTACTTTTCGAGACATATTTTGTGAACTCCATTCAAGCTTTTTTAATATATTTATATATAGACTAGGCATGTTTTCATATTTGATAATATATTTTTTTTCATTTCATAAATTAAAAAGGTAGTTTTTTTTTTTTTAATTTTTAATAAGCTAAGTTGATTATGTATTATGGTTTTGTTATATATATTTTTATATTTTTTCTCTATTTATTTATGCAAATTTTACACATAAGTAAGTGACTATATATATATATATAATCGTTAAATTGACCCAAGCATTTACTAAATCAATCCACCCATCCTAACCATTGTCAAAAAAAATCTCTACAATGGATATGAATTGGTTGAAAACCACCAAAAAAATGGTTGGATCTACAACTAATGATGATGAGTGTGTCCATTTAGTAAATATTTTTGTCAATTTTACAATTCCTTATATATATTAGATTATATATTTAAAAAAATACATCCAATAATATAGACATAGTCATCAAAATTATAGATATTAATAATTACACTATTTATATTTTATTTATTTTTTGTGGTGGATCTAGAAATAAAATATACATTGCTTTTATAAATAAAAAATGTAATTTATAGAAACTAACCAAAATGCCAACAGTGTTATTAGAAGTATACATGAAGGTTGAAAATCCATAGATTTGTATCTTTTTAAGCCAATAATCATCTTATTCTTCAATAGTGCAATCATACAATATTTATGTTAAAACAAACTTAGTTCTTGTTATATTGCAATTATAATTAAAGATTGTTTATCTTATTAATTTTGGACAAATGCTTATTTTTGTAATCAAGTTCAAAGTATACACTACTTTAATGGAATTACGTTTTTATATATATATATATATATATATATATTAATGTGTTTTTTATAGTATTTTTTTTAAAATTAAAAATAATTCCTAATAACTGTGTGTATATTTATATTCTCAAAGATTTACACAAGATGAATTTGGGTATGTTTTGAGTCAACGCGCATTCATTACTTAATGCAAACAGACCTTACTGGTTCTCCCATTACTATGAATTGCATTGATAATTCAATATAGTATTGATGTGAACTCAACAAATCTTGTTGAACAACAGGAAGATCATGCGGGTGAGAGTATGCTTTACACTCGTTCTTAAGTAAATTTGTGAAGTTCATCTATACATCTATCAGTGATATCATAATATTAAATTTTTGTTGATGTTATGTACTGTTGTAAAAACTGAATTAAATAAAGTACCACTCAACACCCTGCTCTTTAATAGGCTCAAGCTTATTTGACCTATTGTTATATTATTAACATTTGCTCTTTATATCTCGCAAATTCTATCTCGTCAAAGTTGACTTGGATTGTAATCATCAAAGCTGCATGTCGAAACTGGATTCCTTCCTGTAGGGCTAGTTTTCACTGTAGACATACATGAACACTAGACACACATAATCTTGTTTAACAACGTGCAACACAGCAAAACTAATGGTCAGGCATGCATTCGCACCCAACGTTACCCGGGTTATATCTTGCTGCCTAAAAATCTCACTGAAGCAATCAGCCAGTTGTTACTGGAACCGAAACTTAGTATTGCATTATAAACCCATTCCAGAATAAGGATGCCAATGACACAGCTGACTTCAAGCCCTTATTTCATTAGGTGGTGCTTTGACACTGCAGTCAGGATTTCAGGTACTGTAACTGAGAAGAGTACCAATTCTATTTATGCGACACGAAAGATTGAAACGGACATGACCAGTTGACTCATTTCGAATGAACCTTAAGTTGCCCTTGTAAATCAAATTCGGTTCCAAGAGAAAGAATCAAATTGGGCCTCAAACAGACTTAACATTTAACTTCCTTGCTTTCAGAAGGTCATCCCATTTGAGTGGCCGTCTATCAGCACCAGGATACGTCACGTCTTGTGGCAAACTCTTTCCACAATTCAAAAGCGTTCCTCCCTCCTTCAGCAACTTGGCAACAGCTGTGGCTTGTAACCCCTCCCCGCAATTCAAACCCACGGTAGGCTTTGGAAGGTCGCTTATCAACCTTTTCATGTACCTGGAAAATTCCAAGCGATGAAGATGAAGTTTTAATTATACAAAATCCTTAAAAACCTTAATGGAAAGCAACAGATCCTAAAAACCTTCATGCGAATACATAGGAGTGAAATTACAAAAGATTACGAACGAAACCTGAGAAAGCAACGAGAGCTCACCATGTATCTAAAAATTATAGTACGTCCAAAGAGAACGATCGCGGAGAATTAAAACAGAATGTAAACGAAGCGCCTACCATGTGTTAGTGTAGGTTTCAGTGACAACGACATCACCCCCGATACTCTTCAAGAGCTCAATGGACTCGTTAACACCGGGCTTGGAGGGCAAGATGTTGATGGTGGAAATTCCTCTTTCTTTGGCAGCCTTAATCACAGCCTTCCCTAGTTCTGTATCAGCTTCATTTTGGACCAATACATCCCCTGAACATCACCGCCCATACCATTGATCTCAACATCGAACATTGGACTCCGCATTCCTTAAAAAAAAAAAATAAAAAAAAAAAATAACGAAGTACGGAACGAGTGATCCTACACTTCAAAAACCTAAAAGCTCAATTTCGCATCCATGTAGAGGATGAGACAAAATGCGAACTGGGAAAGTCAAGACTAACGATTTAAAAATTCCTAATACTAATTCAGTCGCGCATTCAAACAGATCACAGATGGAAACAAAGTCCGGCATCTAGGATTCAGAATCGAACCAGCTTGCACCTTCGCAGCTAGAAGAACCTTCTCGGCTAACGACGTGGCCTCAGTGGACATGCAAGCGTGAAGCCGCACTAGCGGCAACAGCCTGTGAGGCCGAATCGAAGCTACTCTGCTCATAGCCATGGCCTCACGAACACAAAACACCACGAAAAATGGTCTGAAACCCTAATCCCACCTCGCGTCGCAACACCGAAATGCGAGTGCCACACTCATCACCTAAGGTGAGACATCCAGCGGTCTTAGGCAGACTTAATCTCGACCTTCCAGAACCAACGGCAGGATTCCATCTATATGGCACCCTCTTTAAGCCTACGTGGATCCTACGTGGATCAGAAGTGGCCATCGTCTGCATGGAGTATCTTGAGGGTACCCTGTTTCGACCAAGGTTTTGCAAAAAATGCTTGCGGAGAGTGAGCTATGGCGGCAGCAGCGGCGATGGTACCCGTGTCGCCCTCTGCTGTGGCGTGCCAGCGTTTTTCTGCAATTTCAATCAGTAAGAGAAATTCACGCTTGGCTCCCGTTTCGGTGTGTTGCGCTTGGCGCAGAGAGAAGCCCGTTGAGGTTGACGTAGGATTAGAGGAGAAGTCGTTCGTGTATCGTCGAGCTTCTCCTGCAGAGAGATGGCGGGATAGCAGTGACGAAATCCAGAAGCGGGCTGTGAGGGAGGCGGTGGAGGGCGTCATGAGGGCGGTTGATGAATTGCAAGCGCGTCCGTCCCCGGAGGATGCAGTTGACGGTCATGTGTCGCCTATTTATCGGTTGATTAATGAAGACAAGGTTAGGGAGAAGGCTTGGGAAAGAGAGATGTTTCGACAGTCGATGAAGGGACAAACTAGGAGGTTGAAGAGGATGAGTAAGTTGGCGCTCAAGAAAGCGGTGGATTGGAAAGCCAGAACCGCGAGATTGTCGAATGCGATTTGCGAGTTGGATGTAGCGAGGCCGGTGGCTGATGTGCTGGAAGGCTGGCCAGAGCAGTTGAATAATGAGGATTTATCTGTTGTGCTTGGAAACGTCGGTAGGGAAAATTGGCGCCGTGCTCTGGAGCTCTATGAGTGTTTAAATATGCGAAAATGGTATACCCCTAACACCCACATGTTAGCTACAATTCTCGGCATTCTCGGTAGGTCGAACCAAGTGGAAATTGCTCGGGAGCTGTTCTTGCGGGCTGAGCCGGAGCTGACCGCTGACCATGTGCAGGTGAGTTGTGTCATTTGTTTAATCTTTCAAAGTTTTCAAGGAGTTCGTTTTCAAGGTTTGCATGTTGTGTACAGATTTTGACGAGCATTGCAGTGTTTGCAATTTTTGTTTTAAAAAAAATGATCCTTCTATTTCTCTAGAGGATTCAGAACTCTGTTAGGTTGATTGCGGGAACGCCATCGTTTGTATCAAATTTTATTTGAAGTGATCAGCAGAGTTTATGTGCAGCGTTTACTGATTCAAGTTGAAAGCAATTGTTGTGATATGTTGGACATATACTTTCGGGTCTCCTTCATGATAATCTGAGAAGTCTTGTGCTGCCTGCTTTCAACATAACATAGATCTTGTGCTCTGATTTTGCTGCAGGTTTTTAATGGGATTTTGGGGGTTTATGCCAAGCAAGGGAAATGGCAGGTGGTCCAGCAAATCCTTGAGCTAATGGAGTCAAAAGGCTGTGAACCTGACATCATCACATTCAACACAGTCATAAATGCTCGATGCAAAGCCAATTTGCAACCTGGAATAGCAATTGCTCTTCTGAAAGAAGTTCAGAGAGCATCTTTCAAACCAGATTTAATCACCTTCAATACCTTACTAGGGGGATGCATTGCCAACAAAAACTTCATGGAAGCGAAAGAAATTGTGAAGGAAATGGTTCGGCGGGGTTATGAACCAGATGCTTATAGCAAGTATCTGCTAGGAAAGAAAAAGGACCTTCTTGATGAGATTAGATGAAAAGAGCAGTAAGTGACTCTCGAACTTAAACTGACGCATACTGGTTGGAGTTTCTCAACAGTCAATGTGCATCACCACAATTTTCGCTTGGGTTCTCAGACCATTGTGCTGTGCATCAATCGAGCGCATCATTTCAAGATTCTGAGAAAGGCGAATAATCTTTGACTGCTTACCCCTCGACAAATTGATGTCGAGGACCTTCAGAATGTATCTGGAACTCAGATTAGGAAGAATATGCTGAGTTTCAGATAAAAAACATCTGGCCCTTCTGGGTACATCAGATGGTAGTTATGCTCCATCTTATAGTCCACCAGTGACAGCAATGATTATCTGTCTAGTTCTTCTGGGCATATGGGTGGGAACCAATTGCGCAGACGAGGATTTTTTGGAATTAGAAATCCTCAGCAGATTTCTTCCTGGATATTGAATTGCTTGATTCCTAGAAGGTTCCCCTCCTCCTATCCTTTAACACAAGCTTGGGGAGAGGCAGAGACAGTGCAGACTTGGAAAAGTGTCAGTCTGAGAGAGGATGACCATACGGTAGCCGATCACTTAGGTGTCAAATGCACAAGGTCTAAGTTGCTTTCTTTGAGTTGATGAGACAGTGCAATAGATCTGTGCGAAGGGATTTCCGACGAAAGACGGAGATCATACGAAGAAAACCAAGGTCGTCTTCAAAAGTGTACATCTGTGATCGGTACAGTGCTCGAGGCTGAAGAGATTTGTGGTTCAGGGTTTTGATAACTGCTGTTGCAAAGTTGAAGAAAAGGTACGTCAGCTTTCTCCTATTACAGCTTCTGTACTATAGATTTAAAAGTAACATGATGCTTTACGTCGAAGAGTTTCAATGTAAAGTAGGGATTTTGTGACGCCCATACAAAAAATCATTTTAGCCACCTCCTTTGGTGATGATGTTCATGTAAATTTTGGAGCTACAACTTTCTGCTTAGATTGTTGCTTGCAGTCGGGATGAGATCTGCCAAAGGGTCTCAGCATTTGTTCAATAATAATTGGAATATCTATAACAAACAGTGCATAATTACTTTAACCATCGTGAAATTTATCTCTGGTGGAGAGTGTAGACGTTGTGATTACTAAGAAAATCCGCAGGTTGTCTCCTAGTCGGATGAACTAAATTGAGTGCATTCATTCATGAAATCAGTCAAATAATAGTTGTAAAACTGTTAACAATACATTGTATGCTTTAACACAATGAAACCCATTTACATCCTCTTTTGAAATTCTGGCGAGAATTTCAAGTGTTGGGCAAGAATAAAAAAAGGACCATGATGTACTTTTTGGAAAAACGACGTCATAATTTGGTAAAATTTGAGGATTGTGATTTTATTTTCAGTTGTACTCTTTTTATTGTGCTAGAACACTCAACAAAGGTAAATATGCACAAAACAAGATCTTATTTATGATGTACCTTAAAAGACTATTAAAAACTAAAACTCATTAATAGATTTGATTTAAGAATCTTTGATACAAACTTGATATATAGAATATTATGTAATACATATTTTTTAAATTAGAGATTTTGTTTCTAAAAGTTAAAAATAAATTATATATATATATATATATATATATGTACATTTATTTATGTAAACTAAAAAAAAATGATTAAAATTTAAAATAAATTATAGTAATTGCTTTAAAAACTATTTAAATTATAAATTTTATATTAAATGTATAAAATGAACATAAAGTTTTCAATTCTTATTACAAAATCAAATTATGAATATTATTTCTTAAGATTATAAATACTTATTATTTTATAAAAATAATATAAAAGACTATGATTGAAATCAATAAATATACATATGAATATATATATATATATATATATATATATCTGTATATACGTTCACACTTGATTTTATTATCATAAGTGAGTTTTTTTAAAAAACCATTTGAAATAATATTTTAGATAATGATCATTTTTTATAATACTTTATTCAATAGATTAGCAGATTAGATAAATTTTGACTCTTCTTTATTGTATATATATGTATCTTACTTAATAATAAGCACAACAAATTTGAAGAGAATTGAACTTATGAAATGGGAAAAAAACATCATAATCCACTTGAGTGTCGGCCAACCTCCATCTTTGATCTTAATGTTGATCTTTCAACAAGAATAACTCCTAATTGAATCGTTGATTTGCTCTCAATTTTATTGTAAGTATTGGAAGTTAAGTCAAGTATTAGCTCCAATAAAAGTCACCTCAATCCAACTAGGAGATCGTTGCAAATCTTATATAACCATATTAGATCTAAAAATCTAATTTTTGAGACCCTAATCTACTTAAAATTAAATAACCTCCAATTCAACTATTCAATTAAGCTCAAATTCACAACATATATTCATCACAACTATATTCATAATCCTATTAAATTTTACTTATAGATTTGCTATAAAACTCATGAAATTGCTAAAATTGTAAATCCTATTTTATTTCATAAAATATAAAGTCATTGAAAACAACCTTGATTTTGCAAAGGTCTTACAAAGTCATTACAAACTCAAATTCCTCAATATCAATACTAAAGGAAATCTTATGAAGTCTCCTTCCAAAATCCATTCTTCAATTTGCAAAAGAAATCTAGAGTCGTTGTAGGTGTCTAGTTTTGTGCCTTGGGGTCTGATTTCAATTCGAAATGATAATTGATCCTCTTCAAATATCAAGTTTTGTCTTCTTGAAGTAATTTTTGCTAAAATCAACTTCTAACTCCTTTCTACATATGCATTTATTCTTTATTTTTCTAATCTATCTTATTTTGGTTTATTTATGGTCCTATAAACTAAATAGAAGTTGACTTTGTAAAAATGTACTATTTTCACTTTTAGTTTACTACCCTTTGACTATTATCTATATTTCTAAGATAATTTGCTACAACAATTTGAAATAAGATCTTCTAAAATATAATATTTTCTTCACTCTTTTACCTATTAGCTATATTACATCACAACAATGTTCTTATATCTTGATTTTTTCGTAATTTTCTCTCAAAAATTTAATTAGATTTGGAGATACTCTTTCTATTAGCCTTTGAGGTTCTTAGTTTTTTGATGTGAGAAAGGGTGAAATTAATGTGTTCATATTCCTTATATCTAGTCTTTTTATCTTTTTTTAATTTAAATATATTTTTATAAGAGATGATAAATATCTATATTTATATTTTTCCATGTATTACTAATTTCTAGTGTGTGGTTAAATATCCATTCATAATATACTCAGTCACATTTGTATTGTAGAAAATCCTATTAATCTATTGTATTCTTACCTTAGATCATGTGGATTCTATTTCTTGTACATCATATATTTTTTTTTAGATATTGTTTGTGCCTGCAAGGTTAAAGCATCAAGATATAACATGTACCGATGTTGCATTTCTTGGAAATTTGTTTTAGTGAATGGTTGTTGTTATTGTTGTCGACATCTTTTTTTTTATGCAGGTTGTTTGAGTTTCTTGCCATGTATTGATATTTGGGTGAAAGCCTCTAAATTTATATATGTTGATCTACTTCTACTTCTTATATAATATTTGTTTGTTGTCTCTAATTCTTCTATGTCAATTGTTTTGAATATATTCTTTAATCTTATTACAAGTGTCAATGTAATTAGCTTATTTTGATTGCCCTATGCTCTAATCTAGCCTATTTTCCTATCTTGCTTCATTTTATTTCTAATGTTATAAAATTTGATATAATCTATGCTCATTGAGTGAGATATTGCATTCTAGGTGAATGCTAGTTAATATTACTATCAAATTCTGATATAGAGATTATTTTTTAAATTTGGATCTATGGATCTCATTGGCTATGATTTTCATAGAGCTCTAAGTATCCAAAACAAACAAGCAAGTACTCTTCTATCTAAGGTTATTCAAGCATCTTATTATCCATCCACTTCTACAAGAACCAAGCCGCCATTTGATGTTTAAAGCCTAAATTCTAGTCTCTAAAAGCTTGCTCGTATTTTGCTTTTGTTTTTTTTTTAAATTTTAAATCTCTATTTTTTATAAACTATAATTTTTTATTCTATCAAATTTTTATACTTATTTATAGACCTACTAAAAAAATGTCTATTAAATTTTATCTTAAATAGACACTTGAATAATTAATTATCCTAAATACTAATTTCTTTCTATAAACTTAGTTTTTTAACAAACTATGGTACTTCTTTGCTAATAGAATTCATGCCTCTATTTTTGTATTTGTTAAATATATTATCATTAAATTTTATTTTAATCTATAACTTAAATAATTAATTATTTTTAAAACTTATTTTTTAAAATATTTTATTTAATGGATAAAATATAAATTAAAGAACTAATATATTTTATTGTCTAAAGTTGGTTTTAAAATAATGTGAGTAAATATAGTATAAAATCATTATATAAAATAAATAAATAAATAAATAAATATATATATATATATATATATATATAAAATAGTAATAAATATAATAGAAATAAGTAAAAAAAAGAAAGACTATACTTAAGGCTTTATAAGAAGAGTTTCTTACAAAACATTCAGTAATATATAACATCTTATAGTTGTATTTAGAATTTGAAATTCAAAATTATATATATTCTTTTAAATATTAATATCTTTTAGTAATTTTCTCATGTCAACTTACTATTATTTGAATTTGAGATATTGTATAATCATTTATAAAACTTGGTCATTTATAATTTTATTTTTTTATTTTTTTATTTTTTTTTCTATATAGATAAGTAAAACTTAAGTAATTATATTGCTTACCATATATATATATATATATATATATATATATATATATATATATATATATATTTTAAATTAATATAATTAAAATTTATAACTTTTATAAAATAAAGAGATAGTAATAAAGATGATTTGGAAATAATTATGAAAGAATTGTGATATACTCAGTCAATGCCAAAATACAACTATTTAATAAAAATATATATAATAAGAATTAATCCATGTTCACAACCTTGCATATACTTTTTTTTTACCATACTTATTATTAGTTATCACTATATATAAATAAAATACTCCAAGAAAAGATGTCTATATAAGATGATATTACAAAGAAGTAAACAATTTCATTTGACATATTCATTTACAATATGTGATATTATAGAAGTACCTTTGTCTACTTTTTATTCATTTGGAGCATAATTTTTTGATATTTTGACAATATTTTTGTAATTGAAGAGGTAAAAATTACTTGACATTAGCAGGACTTGCCTATGTTATAAGATCATTGGATATGAAGCAAACAAAGTTGAATTGCTAACTTTTGAAATTATAGCCAATAACTCTACTACTGAGCAAAAAACTCTATTGGGATTAAAGTCCAAAAGTTTATACATTGTGCAATGCCCTAGATAAAATATGAATAAACTAGATGAAAATATGCTAATATGACCTTAATCTCAAAGCATAGTTTTTTGCTTCTAAAAGAAATGCATGGATCCTGATTTTTATCTATTTTAAAGGTTCTAGGCTTATTCTTGGTCTAGTGACATATTTTTCATGACTTATGTTATTTTTTAATAGTATTATCTATATTTATCTATTTTCAAAGGTACTATCCAATAGTCAAAAGAAATTATAATTAAAGATGTTTTTTTTGTTATTTTGGTGTAGATTTGGAGTATTAGATTAGTGCATGGTTGAAAGCAAAAGCATTGCACATTGGTTATTGATGCTTGAAGAAGTATTTGTCTTAGTGGTAGAAAGAATGATTCTTCTTTGATGTCATATCTATCAACATCATTTAATCTTCATATAGTAGTTGAATATTGATTTTTTCTAAAAAGCCATCTATTTCCTCTTTTAGTTCTTGTTCCAAGCTGTATGTATTCATAGAGTTATCCAAATGCAATCTAATTTTTTAATCATTGTATATGGTAGGGTGGTCAATTCTTTGGTCAACAAAGATGTATTCACGAAGAGATAGAATACATGTTTTTGTTACATAGTTAATGAAATTTTCTATTGTCTCTACTTGGAGGTTAGACTTTTGTATATGTCATTGGTAATTAATGT